TATATATATATATATATATATATATATATATATATATATATACAGTATATCTAAGTCCTAATTCATACCAGAAAAGCCACAAATGCATCTATCAAAAATATGAGGTCAGCGTGCAACATATGTGAGTTGCAGCTCAGAGCACTTTATGGGTCAATACTAAGGAGACGGACCGTGTGAAAGAGCATGCAGTGTCCGATGCGGGACTGGATGTCCTCCGGCCCGGCGTTACACGAGTCTTCTCTGAGCAGACTCCAGCTGCCAGCTTGACATTGATATGCGTAAAGCCCGCTGAACTGAGGTTCTGACGTCCGGCTGTCATCCACGCTGCCGTTACACGTCAGAATCCGACCACCAAAAGTGTAAATCATGTGTTTCTCAGAGTCCATGCACATCTGAGAGAGAGAAAGGCAGACGGTTTGTCAAAATACCTGAGAGATACTGAACTGTTCATCATAAACCTGTACAAGGGAGACTCCTGGTGGTGTGTGGGCATATATCCATATAAAATGCGTACCTGGTGGTCGAACACGAGTTTGGGTCCTCCATCAGCGGACGTGTCTTCGCTTAGGAGAGTCCACGTGTTGGCGTCAATGTCATAGCAGTAGAAGTCACTCTTCAGTGACTTGCTGTTTCTGACAGAGGAGTCCAGATAACGGCCCAGAGTGTAGATTTGCCTCCGCTGAGAGTCGATGCACATTTTGTGACACGACCGAGCACTGGGACCGTTCTAAAAGAAATACATCACAACCTTTATAGTCTTCACCTCTTAGTCAGATCACCTATAGATCAACTGATACATATAGCACACAAAAATTTTGTTTTTTCAAAATTGCATTTTTCCTCAAGTTATACAAAAACATTTTTAGCTTTTAAAGGGATAGTTCACCCAAAAATGAAAATTCTGTCATTAATTACTCACCCCCATGTCGTTCCAAACCCGTAAGACCTTTGTTCATCTTCAGAACAGAAATGAAGATATTTTTGATGAAATGCGAGAGCTATCTGACTCTTCATCGACAGCAATGGCCATTTTAGGATAGTTTGTGGCTTGGTCTTAGTGACTTAGGAGTCCTATTCACTACTCCTAACCTTTCACAGATTTAGGAGCTAGTTTTAGTGCTAAAATGCTTTGTGAAATACTCCTAAATTTAGGAGTCCTAAATTTAGGACTGACACACCCATTATTTTTAAGATTTTCTCCTAAATCGGCGAGTTATGAGCTACTTTTAGCCTTAAGATGTTTTGTGAATACGGGCACTGACAAATAAGCCTGGTGTAAACATTAATATGAAAGTCAGTAACAAATCACACAAACTAAAGTAGATTGCAGAAATATAAAAACAAATCTGTTGCTTTACCACATTACTTTAGGTAATTCAAAGTCACTGTAATAAACATATGTAAACAGGTGGACTGCACTAAAAATCTTGACATGACAAAACCCGACATTAAACTGATGCCTTGTTCTATTTATGACGTACTGACACAAAGTTAAAATGAATTGCAACGGTCGTTTTGCCGCGTCCAGTGTAGAGCTGTTGTGGTGCGACGCGACAACTGTAGCATCCGGTATAGACACGGTGAGTGAAGCCGAGAGCAAGATATGCCTCGTCATATTTTCTGCATTTAGCTTTTGAATGACCAGCACCTGCCTGGGTCTGTGCGACGTCATCTATGGCTTTTCTCTTCGCTTTCACAAACCGATCCATCTCCCATTCTGTTACGTCCTTTGGCTGTTTACTTATTTCTTTTCTTTTTCTGCTGATAGCCCGTGCCCCCCCCCCTGCAATACTCGTGCGCCCCCCTGGTGGGCATGCCCCACAATTTGAGAACCACTGCTTTAGACAGATTTAAATAAATAAACAAGAATATATATATTACCTTATTATATATATTATTTTAAGGTTGAAGTCTTCAGTAATGAAATGCACCGTAACACTGTTACTGCTCGAGTAA